TCCCCCTCCGTCCCCACCAAAAAATTATTGTATAAATAACCGGACATTTCCCACGCTCATCACTAAATCCTGTAATGCATTATTTGATTGCTATCAATGTGGCAAGGTATCTCATAATTTTGTACAATTTTTAAAACTTCAAAAACTTATTTTTTCAAAAATTTTGAAATTACTCTACCATCTTTTTGTATCAAGATAAAAAAAAAAATTTAATTATTAAATAAAAAAAAATAAAATATACCCAATATTGGCCAACAAAAGGAGTTTTTATTATTGCCATCAGCGCAAATTACAAATCCCGAAAATCCCGGGATTATTTGCCAAGAACTTAATATCCACATGAATGTTCTACGAGTATGTATCATGAGTCCTGTGTGTGTATGTGTGTGTGTGTGTGTGTGACTGGCAAATGAATTTCAACAAAGTGCGCCGCATGAGGCAGTTAGTGGTGGTTGTATGCTTTGCTTGTCATTGAAAAGTTGCTGCCATCAAATATCGCCATAATTGCGCACGAACCGCTGGCAAACAAATGTTGGCGATGGCAGCGGCGACGGAAGACTGAAAGCCTCGACCGAGAGTGTAGGAGTAGCGACAGCGCGTTTAGGAGTTGCGGAAATAGGAGCACATCAGCATGGCAGTGCGACAGCAGTGTGTCTATTGCAAGCTTTGTCGATGCCACACTCACAAGCGCACTGCGTGTGAAAGGCGAAGATACGCTGACTTAGTTTGCTGATTGCTGCCAAGCAACGCTTAGCCTCCAGACTGTTTGGCAGCTAACAACCAGTGTTTTTGCCACAGACGCAACTTTTGTCACGCAAGTGCCCGCATTTTGTTGCTGCCCCTGCTGCTTCTGAGGTGAAATCGCGTTTTAAGGCCAAATTTGCCGCCGCCGCCGCTCCTATTGAAAACTGCGCCGCGCTCTCGACTGTCAGCGCCACACTCGCACAGTCCATGTAAAAGAGCAAAAATTTAATTAAAAGACCAGTTCGTCTAAATTCAAGTGCGCACGTATGGCACTATGATTGCGCTCCACAAACTCACAAGCGGCGCACTGCCACCGCCATTGCCTTGGCAAGTCACCAAACACCCACAGCGTGTTACACATATTAATGCTGCAGCGCTGTTGGTGCAATTTATTGAAAATGTTACGCGCCATGAAGGTGCAACGGACGAAACAAGTGTCGGAAGCTATGGCGCAACATTGAACACAACAGCGTTTTGGTGGGTGGTGGAGGTTGGCAGCGAACAACTTAGCGTAACGGCAGTAAATGTCAACACTTAAACGCCGTTGACAACATTGAATGAATGAATTGGACTCAAGCACCATCGAACGTAATAAAACGCCGGGGAACGGATGTTAAACTCAACACAGCCACAGTTACGTCGATGATTTCTGCCGCTGGATGGCTACCATGATGATGGGTCACACAGTGCTGTAGAGCAGGCTTCCCCAAAGTGGGTGCCGGGAGCGTATGCCTGGGGTGCCGCTAGTGACTGGAGTATACTAGTGGTGCGGGCAAATTCTTTACACTTTCCATACACAACGCAAGCGGTTTGATCAAACTGCAACATGGCGATCAGTAAATCAAAAAAAAAAAATTTATTTTTATAAAAAATTACTTTCAGCGGCATGTCAAACCCCATACACAACACAAATGGCTTGCAGCAAAGGGATATTTCGCATACATACCCCTTTCACAACNTTCTGCCGCTGGATGGCTACCATGATGATGGGTCACACAGTGCTGTAGAGCAGGCTTCCCCAAAGTGGGTGCCGGGAGCGTATGCCTGGGGTGCCGCTAGTGACTGGAGTATACTAGTGGTGCGGGCAAATTCTTTACACTTTCCATACACAACGCAAGCGGTTTGATCAAACTGCAACATGGCGATCAGTAAATCAAAAAAAAAAAATTTATTTTTATAAAAAATTACTTTCAGCGGCATGTCAAACCCCATACACAACACAAATGGCTTGCAGCAAAGGGATATTTCGCATACATACCCCTTTCACAACCATTTTTGGTACTTTTGTAGACCTAGTCCGCGTTTCATCCACTTTTCTTCCCGTTTTCGGATTAATTTTCTGATTTTTTGCTTGCTGGGCTGCTCTCGTAACGAGCGCAGCAGCTTCGCGCACGTGTATATGTTACTTATTCTTTGGAATATCGCAATCACACTGTGAAAGAGCGAATCAACACGATTTTAGAGGCAGTGTGAATTTTTTAGTTTGCCACTTGATGAAAGTACCGACGTAGTGGGACTTAAGTNATCGCAATCACACTGTGAAAGAGCGAATCAACACGATTTTAGAGGCAGTCGTGAATGAACTTATAAAAAGATTGAAAACTTGTGAATTTTTTAGTTTGCCACTTGATGAAAGTACCGACGTAGTGGGACTTAATGTTCTTCTCGTGTTAGTGAGGTACCCATTCGCAATACAAATCGAAGAAGAACTTTTTATGAGCGAAGTACTTGAGACTTACACCACTAACGTCGAAATTTTTAAAGCTATCGACTAATTTGTACAGAAAAATAGTTTGAAATGGAGCCAAGTGTGCGGATATTTGCAGTGGTTGGAAAAACGAAAGGAGCGATGTCTAGGATGACGCAAGAGGCAGAAAACGCCACGAGAAGTCACTGTATGATGCGTCGGTATTTCCTGGCGACTAGAGAGATGCCGCCACTAGATTTAAAACACGTATTGGATGACGCTTCGAAGATAACAGAGACCTGCGAAATTATGTATATTTTAGAATTTCCAACAATTTGCATGAAAACCACATAAATAAACAAAGTTAATCAGAAAAAAACGTACATATGTAACTTCAGAGTTAACGCTAATAAAATTGATAACAGATCACCAGCAATTTAAATGGAAAATGATTTTTTTATTTTCTGTCAATTTCCATATAGTAATAAAAAAATAAAAATCATTAAATTGCTTTCGTGAAATTGACCGTAAAAGTTATTTTCTTAGCGTTAACGAGCATTACCAGCGTTAACTTGGAAGGTTTAGAAAAACCCATTGTCGAATATTTTCCCAACATTGACTGTGAGAATGTCTACAGCTGGATAATAAACCCGTTTTCTCCTGACCCGAAAAGTAAACCTACTGAGGTGGCAAATTAAACTTTTGAAAACCTTCTGGGCATCAGTGAAGACAGCACTTTGAATATTAAATACTACGAAGTGAGCCAAGAGAGTTCTGGATGCAAGTGTACGCACTGGTGTTGGCAAGTTTGCATCACTTTTACTTTTACATTTCTATGTGTGACTGCACTATCAACAAATGCTTACATAAACAAGTAATTTTTAAATAAAATACAAAACCGACTTCAATTCCCATATAAAAATTCAAGATTATCGTAAATCTCTTCATGATCCAATAATCGGATTTAAACCAAATTAGAATGGGACCACTTGTGAAGTAACACATTTCCTTTAAAAAAAAGCATTATAGTAATCGGTGAACGTGGTCCAAAGTTATGCGGTAACATATAAAAAAAAATAAAAAATAAAATATTCCGACGAATTGATAACCTACTCCTTTTTGTGAAGTCGGTTAAAAACAAATACACCAGCAAGCCTTCAGCGTCAAATGATTTCAGGGCAAAATTGTCCAAAGCTCCCAATAAACGTAAAGGAAATAATGAAATCATCAAACCAATTTCAGTCCTCACATTAAAGCTAAAGGAGCATAAAGTTTGCATTGTGTTCTCTTGTTTTCGTATACATTTGAAGAGTAGGGGCGCCGAGGTGAAAAAAGTTTGGGAACCCCTGCTGTAGAGTACTCAAAGTACGCAATTTGTTGCTGTTCATGCCGCTACAAGCAGATTTTATGTGGGAAGGGAGCGAGTGGAGATGGAGGCGCACACCAAGCACCAATCAGGCAACTGCTGCAACTTGAAATGACGCAATAAACCTGTTTCGAATGCACAAGTACAAGTGATTGAAAATTCAAGCTAAAATTACGCGCAAAATACATCGGCAGGAATGTACTAACTATATGCCTACACCGGCACATTTATTTCTATATGTGTGTACATATGTATGTTTATAGATACATATGTACAATGTGCAGTGTTATTTTGTAGGCTATAAAACTGTTTATCCAAAAATATTCTAAAAATTATTATTTGTCAAAAGAAATAAAGTTTAAAACTTCAAATTATTTTAACATCTAGAAATAAAAATGAATAAAATTATATGTAGTTCAAAAAACTAAGACCACGCTTTTATAGAAACAAAAAACTAAAAAGTATAAAATAAGTTACAGATATAGCGATTCTATTTAAGAAGAATAGGAACTTTTTAAACTAGCTTAAAATATGATTAAAGTGATTGGTCCATAGTCATAATCAAAATAAAGTTGAATTGTTGAACCAAATCGGATTATCAATAGAATTTTTCCAAATATCCCGACTCCTGTGCCACCTATCACCAACAATTAATTCCTTTTCATATACACTATATATGTTTCAAATATAGACTAAATCAGAGTATAATTGCGGGTTTTAAAAACATATCGATTCCTGCGCCACCTAGCTGATTAATTTATCTTTCTTATTGCATTGTCATCGAGTTCTGAGCTAAGTTTCAAGTTTCAAGTCTGTAGCCCATAGGAAAGTTTGTAAAATATTAAATGCAAAATTCCAGGACATACATACGTACATACAAGTGACGTTAATAAATAAATAAATTTATCAAAGAATTTAGATTCCAAAAATTACGATTATTCTTGATCGGAAAAATGAGAATCATAATTACTTAGCTTTACATTGTGTGAGCTATAGTAGCAGCTGGCCAACTTGGCCACAGACGAAATCTTTGAAGAAAGCAGGCATTCCAAGTTTTCTCAAAACTGCTAACTAAATTTGAGATTTAATCGTATGTCAAATGAAAAACGGAATCCGGCCAGTTCAGTCGCTTTAAAATCACTTGTTACCCCATTTTGGGACATACATATAGATCTACTACTAAAAAATTATCTTTTCTCTCACCTTCCAAATCCACCACACGTCCGGCTCGTTTCAGTGCACGCACCGCCTCGTCGTGTGTCGCTTCGCGCAACTCTTCACCATTAACCGACAAAATGGCATCGCCCACGTACAGCCCCTTTGCCTGATCCGCTGCCATACCGCGAAATATTTTCGATATCAGTATAGGCATACGATTTTCGCGACCGCCCTTAATGGAAATGCCGAGACCGTTGTTGTCCGATTTAATGATGCGTACCTGCCAGCGAAATAAGCAAAAATGAATGATAGAGCCATGTCAGTCGCATGTTACGATATCAGCACGCGCACAGACACACACGCACTTACATGTCTCTTTTGATTTGCCACATGATCAGGTACATCGCACATATCCAGTCCATTGTCCATGGTATTATTGTTCAGCAAGTGGTCACCGCCGCCACCGTTATCTGTGCAGTCTGCATCAGTGCCGCTGCCGCCACCACCGCTACCCGCGCCCATGCCACTAACGCCGCCCATGCCCTGCATGGAGGCCGATGAAGGTATGGAGCCATTATGACCGCTGTGGTTGCTGCTGCAAAAGTGCAACGATAACAATAAAGTATACAATTAAGAATTCACTTCTGTACAAAATGCGCGCAGTGCTTGCGATATTTTCAAATGTTAATAAACTTTAGTGCATACATTTCGTATATTAATATACTTATGTACATATGTAAATAGCATATTTATTTTGTTTTTATTATTGCACATCTACATATGTACTCGTACTTACCCCAATGTGCCGTTCAGTGTGGTCGATTGATCCACACTGATTGCCGCCGCATCGCAAGACTCGTCCAAACTAATTGCCAGAAAGTCGGTTTCGAGCGTCACCAGCACCCGATACCAGGCGCCCCGCACGCGCGTCTCCAGCGTGCCGCAACGCATGCCGGATGGTGAATGTTGTGCGGCGGTGATGGCAGCTGTTGCCGGCTGCTGTGCATTCACACATCCAGTCAGAGGCCGGCCGATAGCTGAGGACTCCACCATGGCGTCGCACGCCGCGGCAGCACAGCCGTCAATGTGTGGCTATTAGTATCAGCGTCGCACGCCGCGGCAGCACAGCCGTCAATGTGTGGCTATTAGTATCGCTTACTCGGTGACGGTGGGAGGTATGCGAACGTTGTGAATGATACTATGGATGGCGATGATGATGACGCGAATACAGCAGTCGCGTTCGGTTGGATGACTGTGTCTCAAAGTGGAATAAGCTGACAAGACTCAGCGGCGTACTCGGCGTACAAATAGCCTCGGCAAAATCGGTAAAGGATCTAATATTTGATATGAGCTGTCTGGTATGTGTTACGGCGAGTGTTCAGTGATGGGCAAATTGTTTAATGTGGGCACATAAAACTGCTGAAATGAGAAGAAGAGAAAATGATTTAAATTTAGGGTTTAAGTTTAGTTAGGAATAGGGTGTTCGGTTATTCGGTTTTTTTCTAAAACCTACTTTCTATTTATTCGAAAAATTCCAATTTGTGAAAAAACGGTTGCCGATTTGGAAATTAATAACAAACCGCATAAACCGGTTTTATTTTACATAGTTTTCATACAGTGAAAATGCTTATATTGGTGAAAAATAATTACAATAAAACTATTAGCAAAGATAAACATTAATTTATTGGAATAAAAAATGATGTATTGTTCATACCCAAATAACCTAGGATATAATTCTAACACTTTTGTTGTAACTTTTGTTGAGTGGGCAAGATTTGTATGAAATGAAAAAACCGATTTGTTCGACAAAAAAAAACGGTTTATTCGATATTCGAAAAATCAAAATTTAACAAAAAAGCCGTGTTGGAAAAACCGAGTCAATCATCCTAGTTAGGTGTCTCGAAATCTAAGCTTTTGTTAAATAAGAAGTTTGCCACTTTTACTGGCCCTGCGTTGATATGCGAGGTTTCAGAAATGAAATTCAGTTTCTAACAATTCCGTATCTACAAAAAAGTTTGGACCATCCGAAACGCTTAATTTTAACAGATAATACTTTTTTAATCCACCGGACAAAGATACTACCAGTCAATTGAGTTTTCTCCCTACTTTACCCTCTACAATTGAAAAATTCAATTTCCCCAAATTGTGTACATTTTTTGCCACTAAAAACATCTCTTCAAAAAATCAATCCAGCGAAAGCAGTGGCCAAAATTCAGTCAACTGAAAGAGCAAGTAATTAAATGTATCCTCTCTCCCTATCTCTGTCTTTCTACACACAGATTGCAAGGCAGACCAAAGAGAGATCGCACACAATTGATAAATCCACGTGGAGGTGTGGCTGTAAATGGGCGAATGAAAACACAAAACAACCGGCCAGAACAACCGCACAAAAACAAAATTTACAAACAAGCTGTGTGCTTTAGCTGACACAAACATATACAAAATCACGAACTAGTTGTCAGATACACAACAGACACTGGCTCCGTCGAGCAGCCGAGGTGGGACGCCAGTAAAGAATGCAATAAATAAAAACTAGAAGTGAAAACAAAATGCAATAAAATGAAATTAAAAGCACAGCGCGCCAGCTGTCAATAAAATGTGGCGGCACTAAGCGCGTACAAATACAGTGACAGCAATAGCCATCCGGTTAACTGACCGGAAATCGAGTGAATGTGTTACGCCGTGCTTGTGTATGCGTGTCTGCTGATGTGTGTGTGTATGAGCCACTGCTTGAACGTCACAGTGCATTTCAAGGCAAACACTTCGCACCAGTGTTGCCGCCGCTCAGAGAACTTTCTAGCCAAGATTAGACGAAAAAAATACCAAATGTAAGGAAAAATAACCAATTTTTTTATTAGATTCACAATTCAGGTCATTACAAATTCTTTTATATAGTACGTATGTATAGAAAAAGTTTACAAACCAAAGAAAATCAATTTTAATGAAAAATAAATCCTTTTAAGGCAATAAGATGTAAATACATATTTTAGAAAATTAGCCCCCGTATTAGATGCAAATGTGTCTTCGTAAATATTACCACACTCTAAATGGCGTTTTAAATAAGTACATAGGTACACAGTTTCCAACTTCTTTGTAAGAATCAATGAAATACCTAATCAGCGTGAGCAACCAACCATACTGCATACATTTTAAGATTAAGATTAAACAATTAAAAATTGGGCTTATTGAACTATATCGTCGCTCAGCACGAAATACCTCGTATACGTCAAACGTAGTACCGCGTATGCGATGGTAAATAAATTTTCAAAACTGTGGAATAGTATTTTCACTGAACCTACTTGCAGTAAGATTATTATTATTAATCTTAACTTAAATTAATAAAGTAAGCAGTAATGGAAAAAGAATAACCAAATTCCTTTTTTTTATTGTACACACATGAAGTGTCATTGGATTCCGCATATACGAGATATTTATATATGTGCTATCTAAGTATGTATTCACTTGAAGTATTATTATGTATTCTGTATATTTTAAAACAAATACATACATTTGTAAGTAGTATTAATACATTTATTCCAAAAATTCTTACTTGGTTTCACTGCTGGCGCTGCCACTGCTGCTGCTACTCTCCTCAACCTCGACAGGTGAGCTGGCCTATGCCAATAAAATATTAAAAAAAAATAACCAACACGAGAAAGACCTTAACCACTTCACAGGCAAGAAAAAAATAACCAAACGGCAACACTGCTTCGCAAACTCACTTTGATTGCGTCGCTGACAACAACAGCAACAATGCAAACCAATTGAATGCAGTCAGACAACAGCACAACAGCCGGCCAAAGAAGCAACAAAAGCAACAACATTATTGGAAAATACCACACTATACACTTATGTTGTCAAATGGGAATTGCGGTTTCTTTTTGTTTTCTGCTCTCCCATTTTCTACTTTTAATTTGTTGCATTAGAAATGGGGCCGTGAGCGGGGGATAAGATGGCAATTGTTCAGAGCTGAGTAAGTGGCGTGGGAATAGGCAGCATATCGCCGTTTAAAGTATAAAGCCGCGTATCAACAAAATGCAAAACCGGGTATCAAGATAAGGCAAAACCGCGTACGTGAGGTTGCATTAATTATTTTCTAGAGAATAAAAACACTCATATTTCAAAATGGTTCTTTTTTTTTTAGAAAGCAAAATCATTTCTTGCTTGTATATTTCAGGACAAAAGGAAAAGGATTGAGCTACGAGCTTGTGTGAGCAAATCCAATTTTTGGCAGCAAATGTCAGTTACGTGGTTTTGCAGTATGACGATACGCGGTTTGGTACTTAAACAAAAAGTATGTAATTTGTAGAAGGTGCAGGAGATCAAAGACAAATCAAATACCGCAAGGCGGTCGGCAGTGCCAACAGCTGATGTGACATAAAGAAGGCGCTATTAGCGTATTCAGTCTTATCATGAGTTTAATTTTCCCCGAACCGGTTCACTTTGCACTTTTGGTTTCCATATATTTACTATGGGCGGATGTCAAATTTTCGGGCTACGGCGAAGAAGACGGGCTATATGAGCTTTTAAACGACATAGCCATAGTTAAGCCCATTAATATACAAAGATTGAGTTGCCTTGGGCATTTTTTACGCATGGATGAAAACGCACCCGTGAAAAGATCTTTCGACCTTGCACCCCTGAATGGACAACGTTTACAAAGGCGCCCACGAACAACAAGAAAGGACCAAGTACCGAAGGGCCTGTCAGTACTCGGGATGAACAACCAGCGCAAATTTTCAATGAAGGGAGGGAGCCGGTGAAGTGTTTAGATCTCGGTCCAAACTGACAAGCGGTTGTACCGCCAGCTAAGAAGCATAAGATACTTTGAGCTTACGTACCAAATAACTAGAAGCGGCAATTTTTGCTAACTCATCACTCAAGAATTTGACGAATGGTGATGGAGCGTGGTGGTTATTCTCTTATATGGTATATGCTGATACTGACTCTGACCAGTTCGACAATTTTAAAAACTTTCGAAGTCGAGACTAGCTAGAGCTGTTTTCAGAGTGCCAAAGTGCCAAAGGCGAAAGGAAATGCATAATCAAGTGACTTTAAGCTCAAGAATTTGTTCTGAATATCGAGTCTTAGCTTAAGCTCACTTTTTATGCCTGAGGCCCAATGGCTCTATCCAACTCGATTATCACTGCAAAAACTGAGTTTGAGGTTAAGCTCACTTTTTATGCCTGAGACTCATTGCCGGGGCCTCTCTACCCTGCGAACAATTCGATGGTGCCCGAACACTTCACCTCAACTGGGCCCTTGCCGATCAACTATCCTAACTTTGTACTAACTCAGCATTGTCAGACAAACTGTCCTGTGCAGTAATAAAGGCGTTAAGCTATGAAGTTAAGACAGCCCGCTGTCCATCAGTACATACACTCCGATTGTATAGGAGATTCAAATATTTAAAATATCATTTTCTAAAGTGGGAGAAAATAGAAGATGAACTACACAGTTAGTTGAGCTGCAATGTAGTAGTAAGCGAGCTCGGAATTGAAAGCTTTCAGACATAGACTATGTAGTTTCGCAAACTTTCATAAATATGTATGAATGAACTCTAACTACGTTATTTGCTTGACATGCGAGTCCACCAACTCTAATTGTGTCTAATTAATTTTGCTTTCGTCGAAATGTCATGGAAAGTTATCTTAAATGCAAAGCAACAAAATAAATTGCCACAGACTAAAATTTTTCTTCGAAACTTTGATGATGTTTATGAATACGTAAAGACGTATAGATGTATGTATGTACATACATACATATGTGTGCGGCAACAAATCAAGCCAAACTCCATTTCATTCTAAACTCTCCCTTGGCGATGATGGCAAATTGCTCGTAACGTCAGTGCCTTGGGAAATTCTTGTTTTGCTTTGATGAAAATAAAACCTTGGCATCATACGTATGTATTTATATACATATGTATATACTACGTATGTATGTATGTATACATATGATATGTTTATACATATGCATATGTATGTATATATGGAAATACGATGTACTTGAAATCTTTTATATATTTGCTAAAATTTCATTTTACAAATGTCTACTCGTTAGCAGCACGACATCCAGTTACGTCAGTCTGAAATTTCCATTTGCCTGGGCTGTCATCTTCACAGCATATTGTTTTTGTAATGTTATTTTGAGCTGTAAATCGCACAAGTCCTAGCATCGTTGACAAAAAGAAAAATCAAATATGTCAAGCTACTAGATTCCACGTAGGGAGGACTCCTTTGAATGGGTCTGATAGAAATTTGTTGCTTGTGGATTGTTTTGGCTTTGATAAAGCATTAATATAATATACAATAATGATTTTGCTTTACGCTCGAATTAGTGAAAATTTAATTAGTTATAAAAGTCCGATTTATTTGGGGATTCTTCAAATGGCCAGCAAAGACTAGGTAGCGGCATT